GTCAGAGCACGACTAGGAAGTAACCTATCTCAGAGTATATTGGGGTTATATTGCTATAATGGAAAGAAAGTGGAAACTACTGTAGTATATTGGGGTTATATTGGGGTTGTTTCCACTGCACAATCTTAAACCGCAGTTGCGCTTGTGAAGGCCCCATCACAACTTGAGCAGTGAGGTTCCGTGTGGCGGTTGTGATGTCGTGTGTGGGCGACGGGGGCGGCTGCAAAGTGGCAGCGCCTAAATCTCAAGCATCTGTCATATACACCTGAATGCAGAGCTCGCTGTTGCATAGGTGCCTTAACTGATGTCAAGTTCTGAAGCTTAAGCGCGACTCTTGCGACCCTTCAACTGGTTGGGTGGTCTTCTTTAATGGCAATATTTTTTTTGTTTTTTTCTTGGGGGGAGGGGGGGGGGGAAATTTGCAATTAATGTTGGAATCCTGATGCGCGAAAACTAAGTTTGGGCTTTCATTTAGCAGAGGTAGTGTTTCACAAAAACCTGAGGCAGAAAAAGTCCCGCTAAGTACTGAAGCACGTAATTACCACCAGACTGACCAACCCTAAAACCCTAAACAGGGTACCCGGCCAGAGATTCTTTGGGTGCGGGAGGGGAACATACTAAATCCGGCGCCACATTGAGGCCTAAACTTACTTCGGGGTTTGTAAGGAACATTCCCTACAAACCCCCATGTAAACCCTACACGCAGAACATGTTTCCCACCTCCAGGTTTGGCAATGGCAGCTCCATGGCGTCAAGCAGGTTTGCAGTCTAAGGTTTACTTACTGGTTCTTAGTAAGGAATCAGGATATATAACCCTTTCAGAATCCCTACATGACAGATATTCCCCTATTCCCTACGAACATCCAGTGCGTTGAGGGCTTCGGGTTTAGGACCTGCCTGTCCTCTAGCCATTTGCCAGCAGCATATTTGGAGTAAAGGCAATGGGCTCGAGGCCGGCTTAGGGGATGTTACGCTGGTACATGTCAATAGAGGCGATGCAAAGATTATCTAGCTTTAGGGTTTAGGGGGCTGACATGATATCTATATGGGTAGTTTCCAAAATTAGGGTTCCATTGTGGTACCCCTAAATATCAGGTGCCAAAGGGGCCCATAATCTTGAGAACAACTTATATGATATCTACATAGGGTTATATAGGGATTAGTCGCTGGATCCTTACAGCGCTGCGTCTTTGCGGCGCCATGGTGGTTCTACATATGGGGGTCCGCCCTATTTCAACGGAAACCTCTACCTAAACCCTAAACCGTAAAGTGGACACCTTAAGTATATATCCTTCATTCATCCTTGCATGAGGGCCTCCTGTCGAGAAAGGGCCGGCAGCCTGAGAAAACCAACAAATGCGCGGTTTAGGGTTTTTAGGGGGTCAGGGTTTAGGGTTCAGGGTTTAGGGTTTAGGTTTTAGGGTGTCGGGTTTTCAGGGGTTCAGGGTTTAGGTTTTAGGGTTTTTAGTGGTTCAGGGTTTAGGGTTCTGGCAACCACCCCAACAGCAGCCAGGGATCACATTCATGGCAATGCCATGAGGATGTAATATAGGCTCTTCGCTCGGCAGAAAGGGTACTACTAAGTCCCGACACCCTTGCATTACCAATAATGGAATATTTTCAATTTTCTTGATCATTCCCCGAATCCGAAACCTACATGGCCGTATAGTACTGTCAATTTTCTTTTCTGCTCGTGATCCTGCATGCTGTGCTGTACACACTATAAACCCTAGACCGTGTGTCGCTCCGAACCCTAAACCCTAAAGCCTGAACCCTGAACCCCTAAAATTGAGGTGAACAAGTCTTGTAGGGGTGAGTCCTCTTCAGGACCTCGGTCCAGGTTAGCAATATGGTTAAGGCTTAGGGTTTGCGGTTTGGGGCTTAGGGTTTGGACTGTAAGGTGTATGAGGATATAGTTAGATAATAGTTCGTATCATCATACCGTGGTATTTGGGTATCACAACATCATGGTACAGACTTCTGGTGTTATAGTGCCATCATATTGTACGAACGGACGGACGTACTATTTAGGTTCACGTGCTGCCTGCACTTATATAGGCCGCGATACTAAAATCAAATACGTCTAGCACAGTACAGCAAGTGCCTTCCCTGCCTGAAACTTCAAAGGGATCGCAGAAGATAGATGCTTGAGTGAGATTCTACAGATCCAGAAAGTAACAGGGATACATAGTCAGCTGGCGATGTAATGGCTGCGTATCATCCCCTGCTCTGCACCACCGGGGATAACGGAAAAGAACATGGAAGGTGCGATAACAGGGTTATATAGGGACTACTATATGAGCCATAGTCTAAACTCCGAGTATCCCCTATAGTAGTCCCCTATGCGATACCCTTTAAGGAGTTTAGACCCTAAACCCCAATATGAGCCAACCCATCTTCAACACTGTTTAGGGTTTAGGGTTTAGGGTTTGTTGGTGAGCCTTGGTGAGCGGTTATCTGGCACACCGGAAGTTCACAACTTATGTAGGAATTTACGCATAAAGTGTTACGTCGCGTTATATACGGATGACGTGGAGACTATATAGGGCTTAGGGTTCTTATCCAAATGAGTGCGCATCAAGTGGAGAAGCAATGGAACAAGGAAATGGAAAGAGGGAATGGGCCCTTTCGGTTATAGATTACATTCCGGCAGCTAATGCTTAGGGATACCAACATGGGACCCTAATTTTGGAAACTACCCACTACTCAGACAGTGGCTCATTGGTTGAAGTCTAAACCCTAAACCCTAATCCCTAAACCCTAGCCTTCGCACGAACCCAGCAAGCTCAAGTCCTGAGAACCCAAAGCAAGCCAAGTGCAGCTTTCTTAGCTTCTGGTGGCTATTCCAAACCTGAACCGTGAACCCTCAAACCCTAAACCCTGAACCCTAAACCGCGTGGATCCGTTTCATTCTCCCGTTCTATCCTCTGATGGTAGTACCAAGTTTCACTCCTATGCCTCTGTTCACGCCCCCGCCCCCCCACGCAGCCATAAGCCCAAGGAGGTTCTGGCAAGGCTCCGACGACTCTGGTCAGGCACACCGTTTTCCACTAGCAGCGACCACTGCGCCAAAGCCACATCAGTGTCAAGCAAAGTGACAGCCCCCTGCGCTTGTGATGGCTGGGGTTTGGGAGTTTTGGGAGTTTTGGGTGGCTGCGGGCGCAGAGCTTTGGTTTAAAGGTCAGACAGTGGGGTCGGGGTTCAGGCGCCTGTTTGTAATTCAACGAGCTCGTGTTGACTGGGTAGTCTGCTCCGATTGGTCCCTGAACTTTTCGTTTAGGGTCTCTTTCTGGACCAGTAGAGGCTTCAGTTCTTATGTTCTAGCCTGGTCGCGGATGATAGCTATCTGCCTAGGTTTGTCCACTCTGCCCAATCTGAATACCTCAGAGCTCCTGGGCTATCATGGGCCTTTTTGCGGGGAAGGTTTGGGCTTTGGAGGTGAAGGTTTAGGGTTTGGGATTCCCACAATTCGGCTCCAGCCATTTAGTCCCCCTTCAGTAGATAGAATATGCGTTATATGAGGACCTTATTTTTATAGACCCAAAGCCATATTCTATCTACTTAATTGAGGGGGACTATAAGCACAAGCTAAAACATCATAACAAAGACTGCAGATCATAATGTCCACGGATGCTGACAGGAGCATGACGACCGCAGGTACACTGCCCGGTGGGTTTCCATACGTTTGCACGCTTTTTCGGCAAGGAAGGAATCCTAGCGACGAAGCTGCCCCCGTCAAAAAATGGGGTGGAATGTCAGTGAGGGTGGTTGGGGTGGTGGTGTTGGCGGTGGTTTCTGGTGGTAGCATCGGTGGTTGTGGCACTGACGGTGGCGGTGGCGTTGTGGCTGGCGTCTCTGGAGAGGTCAGTCAGGGATCCTTGACCCATAAGATGCCAAAATTCACATGTGGGCTGCTACAGCGTAGAACGACATGGCTCAATCCCTGAAGACAAAATTAGCATGTCACCCCTTTTGGGAACCAACACCCAAGCAGGGTACGGACCAGTTCATCTGAAAGTGCTTGTCTGCTTGACGCCTCACCAACAGCCCTGATTTTGTAGCGCGGCTGGAGGGAAGTGGCGGATCTTGCCTCAGTCAGAAAGTGGGAATACAGGGGTATAATGTAGGGCTGCTTAGGGATAATGATTGGGAGGGGCGCCGCATAGTTCTGATCACAATAGGTTTGCGGTAGTTATGGATGACCGTAGAAGTGGAGGACACTTTTCGAAAGTAGCTGTTGAGGGTTTGTGGCTGAAGGTCTAGGGATACGGGTTTACGCGAAGCATTGGAAAACGCAAACCGCGGATTGAATTGTGTGGTCGTAGTGGATTTTCGGGGCGCCTTAGCTGAGAAACTTCAGGGCTCAAAGGGTAACAGGCACACATCCCTAAGGGTCCATGTACCTGATAATTGGGTATTTGGGTTTTGAGTTACAGTGATTATAGTACAGGTTTTGGATACGTATATATGGTTGTTAGGTACCTGGACCCTTAGGGTATCTCGTAGGTGTTGGACTCTTGCGCGGCATGTGGGCGGTTGTCAAAATTATGGTCCCTTTTGGATACCCTAAATATCAGGTGCTGTATTATAATAGGGATCCAAAAAGGGAACATTTGACAACCACCCACATGCTGGCTGCTCTTTGCTGGACACGGAAAGGTTGCGTTGCGGAGTCACACTTCTCCTGAAGTGAGGAAAAAGGCACTTAATTCGATGAGGCCGAATGCCTCAACTTGAATCCAATAAGATTTGTCAATGATAACAACCATCTAGTCAGGCTGTCTCTGAAAGGAACGTTTGGGCAAAACGACGAATGGGATCTGGCCCCGCCTGGAAATCGGGTCCGCTTGCAAACGTGAAATCTGAATCTGGATCCCTGAAAGAAGGCAGTTCTTTAGATCAAGGTCGATCCTTGCTCCATGTTCGCGAAGACGCGGGCAACTAGGTAATAATGTTCCGAAACACTTGTGCAATCTATGGTAGGCACCAGAGGTACACACCAAGAAAGAACTTAAGGCTTCCCTACCCTGGATACCCATGACCCTATCATTACCCCTATATACCCCATTTAGGGTCTATTAGGGTTCCAGAAGGATATAATTACCTGAACCCCAAAAGTAAGTAGAACAATGACCTTTTGGGCTATATTTAGGGTTTTTGGGCTAGTTGTTGCCAACGTTTGGACATTAGGGTTTAGGGTTTAGGGTCTAGGGTTTAGATTTCCGGGGGGTATGATTAGTGTGTAGAATGCAACATCCCTAGCTCTGCACCTGAAAAGCTCTTGGCAGGGTGCGGAAGCGTCTTGCTGGGACATCGGTTTGGGAGCCATGAAAACTAGAAGCCTATAAGCAGAAATCCTCCAAAACCCCATGAACCTCAGAAAGCTTCAAATCCTCTGGATGGCTAAAACTGAATCCTAAGAAACACCGAACGCCGTTAGATACCCTAAAGCCACAACTCCAGTATAGTTTCCAACATTTTGTGCCCGTTATGAAAACTTATCATGTGGAACCCCCTGAAGGAACCCCTAATTTCTGGTAACCCCGAACCCCCAACATTTAAGCTCTGGACTCAACATACCCTACTTTTGTCCCCCTTTTGAGCCTATAAGTCTCTTTGAAGGGGTTTAAGGGATATGACTCTCATGTCACTCAACCCAATCCCTAGAAGCTACTCCCTAAACCCTAATCCCTAAACCCTAAACAAAGTGAGGGGTCGCT